AACCCTTTCCACTCGTCCACTAAAACGAAATAAACAGAACAGCATGAATTTATACAGGGAGTTTTAAAGACTCAGCTATGTTGCATATCTACTTGAATGTGTTTATGAGAACAAGTTGAAGTCGAAACTAAAGTTAGAATTCAATTGAATAGCCTGCCAGTAAAAAAAATAAAGTCAAATATGATGTGAAAAATGAAATTTTACATAAATTATATATATACAAGGATTATACGTATATTTTTCGTTTCGAGTAGGATCTCTCCTGTGGCCCAAGGGCATTCATAGCAGTGTGACATAGCGGTTAACGTGTCGAGAGTATACGCTGCACCGTAATGGTTCGAGTACCGCTGGCGTTAATAAGACCTAGACGAGGGTGAAACTAAAGTTAACCCTAAATGAGAATACCTTTTGGGAAGCATGGCTACGTGAAATTCTTTGGGAACTTCATGTCTACTCATATCATTGTAGGAAAATTCAACTACCAGACATTCATCACCTCAGACGAAATAGGATGATTATAGATATAATCAATAAAAGCAACTTAGAATTAACTTTAGTCTCATCGATTAACTCGCTGGTAGGATTTTAGAAGGTATTTTGGTCATTTATGCTTCTTAGCCAATACTATTACTCCAAGCCTCATACTTATTTCAATATTATAACAAACTAAACACAAAGCAGATCCATTATTTTTCTTTGAGGAATGTAATATTCCAAGTGATAAGACAGCATAATACTGTTATAATAACCGTTTGCTTGTAGTCGCTGAGTAATAACTCACCTCGACTGCCTCCGTGCATCTATTTACGTCCTCTAGCATGTGCTCTTCATTTATCGTCAAAAGCTCGTTGAGATTAATCGTATCGTCAATAGCATCCGTCAGCATTTGCAAAGACCATTTGTAGGCATCGTCAAAAACCAAATAGTTCTCCTGAGCCACCTGCAATGAACAAGAATTAATGGTAAGGGAAAGTTCACACAGTAGTATGATTAAAGGGAGTTAATCGTATTTTCACTTGTTGTGTTTGTCTTTGATCAGTTAACATTAGAAATTTGAGTGAATCTAAACCAAGCCAGCCTAATTCGCTCTCCTATCAGAAATATGCAGCATAAGCTGAGCTGACGAGTGATTTCAGTCACTGTGCTACTGTGTACGATGTCTACATCGTCTAATATTAGGAGGAGATTAGACCTCGAGATATCATAAGACAGCCAAACCCATGAATACTTTACTCCTAGCCATCACTCAGATTCACTTAATCACATATATACTGGCACAAAAATTGTATCTGTTTTATCCCCCCCCATTCGCATGTCAATGGCTCAATACACCCGGTTAGGCGAAGAATCATATACTTTCATAACATAAGCAAATTTCCCTTTAGAACACCTTAGATTATTATGTATTTTAAGCCGGCACTCCTCTACATGCATAAGCGCGTACACCATACAAAGCCAATGTACAGATAACCTAATGAAGCAGCTCGGTTCCTGCGAGCAAAAATATAAATGAGGAGCTTAGGGCTAAATTGACTTAAGTTGCCTCGGCTAGCCTGATAAAACAGCATCAGAAATTATTTTCAGTTTAAAGTAGGTATTCGGGACTAGCAGTAAATCAGATATATGACCTGCGTTCATCCTATTTCGTCTAAGGTGATGAAGGACTATAACAGCGCAGCGTATAAGCTTATCCATTACGCCAAATTGCAACGAGTGCACCATGACCCAAAGGCACTCATTGCAATCTGGCCTAGTAATTTACCTGTCGAGACTATACATTGCACTGTAATGGTTTGAATCCCCCTGGGGGTGTAGATAAGACCTATGCAAGGTCGAAAGTGCAGTCCACCCTGAATGAGAATAGCCTGTGGGAAGCAAGGCTAAATGAAATTCAATGGGAACATCACGTCTTCCCATATCACTGTGGGAAAATTCAACTAACAGTCCTTCATCACCATAAAACAAATAGGACTAACAAAGTCCATAAAGCGTCAGAGATTCCGGAATAATGTGCTCAAGCCCTCGCTGCAGAGACAGTAACTCCTGAAACATTCCAGCCAGCATATCCTGACCCATTTTCAAAATTCACCTGAGTAGACACTCAAAGTTGAGTTTTCGTAATATAAGATTTTTATCGAATTTATCGCAATTTAGTCGTGCTGTCAGGGTGACTTTTTTGGACGCACTTCGTCCGAAGTCTTCTACTACATTAGTTATCATGATTCCCAGCGTCGGAGCATGGACTTAGTGCATTCTCAGACATTTCGCTATTCAAAAGAGAAAAGTAAAGCCAATCCCTTGACGCACTTTCTGCCAAAACGGTTGTGCTATCCTCTTTCTGTCCTGGCCCATCTTTCTACTTTCTACTCTCTACCCTCTTATTAAATTTCCGCCCCATCACAATTTTTGACTTGCTTATATTCCACTCATCAAGAGGTGTCCTTTTTAGCGAGTTTAGTGTGGCCTCATCACACCTGTTGTTTATTTTGCCCCCTCTCGATTTGTCGATCTGACTCGGACCTCTTTCATGGGCTTATCCTTGAGGTTGACAGATTTCACTCGGTCCCAGTCTCAGTATACGTTATACCCCAGGCGCTATTATTCAAGCCTTTAAAAGCGCATACACTGTCACCTCAGTGAGCAGAGAACCTAGGCTCTGAGTTCCATGCTTGCATATATTAGACAGTGCTTTCACGGGTCGTATCCTCGATTAAAACCGTATACCCTGAGCAAACTGTTGACGTCGACTGGTTGCCTGCTGCCTATCGAGTGTATTTTTGGTCAATTTGGCCATAATGCCGAGATTCCGTAACGTCTGTGATTATCCGTCTTCCTGATCATATGATTACCAGGTTTCCCAAAGTTGTAGTTATTTACTCGAGCAGACTAGACTCAACGAGAATATCTTCCCCTGATTCCCGAAACTTCACCACCCGCTACATCCTTACGATCCCTTTTTCTTTAGTTAACGACAGGTCCTTAGTTCAGGCGTCCTCATTTGCTGGTCCTGACGTATCCTCTTATCTCTAATTATTTATTAGTAGTTAGGTGTCATAGCAAATATAAGTTTGCTTCATCATTAATCACACCAAATAATGTGATACGACCTTCCTTGAAATTCACATCTGCCCTTTAACTCAGGGGCACTCGTGGCAATGTGGCGTAATGGTTAACATGTCAAGATTACAATTTGCAATATCATCTTTCGAATTCCACTTGGGGTGTCGATTAGACATAGGTGAGGTCTAAACTGCAATAAATCCTGAATGAAAAGAATTTTTGGCTATTTGAAATTAAAATGAAAGTGTCAACACTATTCTAATCATTGAATGAAAATTCAATTATATAAGATGTATTCACCCTATTTTGTCTAAGGTTACGAAGTACTGGTAGTAGAATTTTCTCACAATGATATGAGTAGAGCTGACGTTTCCATTGGATTTCACAGAGCCTTGCTTTACCAAAAGTTGTTATCATCCAGGATGGACTGCAATGACCTGCCCTGTGACTCAGGGCATTCGTGGCAATGTGGCTGAGTGGTTAACGTGTCAAACACACCTGCTGCACTGTCATGGTTCGACGCCGGCTAGGGGTGTTGATAAGACCTAGACAAGGTCG